TTGTTGTCTGTATTGAGGAAGACCAGCAACACAACCCTCAGCAACCAGCAGCTCAAGTATTAAACTACGCAGCTGTTTGAGGTGAAGGTAACCCGAGTCCTGGTACGGAGTCCGGAAGCTCGGCAGACAGTACGACGAACAGGCCGGACAGATAAGACGGCAGGTATGCAGACGGGCTTGATTGGCCCGACAACAAGACGCTGATAAAGCCGAGCGATGACCAGCATCCGTCAGCATCCCTCAGTCAGTCTGTTGAAGGGGAGTTGAGATAACGTGGACACCTCGCTCCTCGTCTGAGTCCTCAACATCTGCAGTGTAGCCGTGGACCAGCTTAATGTCAACATCTCAGGGGTTTGTCAGGGCGACACACTGGGCCGGTTGGAGTGGTGAAGGCCACAGTCAGCCAGTCGGATCGTCACCAGACTTCACCTCCACCTCACCCTGACCCTTCAAAACCTGATGCAGCCACAACTGGCACATCTGTGTGTTGTGTTTCTGTTCAGTCATCCTGTTTCTTGTTGTGGTTGTTTTGTGTCTCTTTGTGTCTCTTTGTGTCTCTTTGCGGTTATTCTGTGTTTCATAGTTCATGACTGTCATCGTCTTGCTTGCTGTCTGTATTGTATATTCTGTGTTTTCAGTGTGGACTGTTCTCCCTCCGCTGGGATCACATCTTTATTTGTTTACTCTGCGGTTTGCACGAATAAACGCTGCGTCTGTCTTCACGCCCGGCCTTGACGCGGAGGCATCGGATGAATATGGAGCCGAGGAGCGACGAATCGAAAACTCCTGACCTCAGACGACTCGGAGATGTCCGCCGCCGTGCAAGTCATCGAGTCGTTCGATCGCAATACGAAGGCAGCAACACTCAGAGAGAGAGAGTGTGTGTGTGTGTGTGTGTGTGTGTGTGTGTGTGTGTGTGTTGATGGACTCAACAGGTGTAGGAGGGGAAGTGTTGAGAGTCAGAGGAGACTCTGCAATTATCGTCCCTGTTGAGTCTCTAATAGCTCCTGCTGTCAGTCATCACACTGAATCACAGACGCTGCTGTGTGTGTGTGTGTGT